TAATATAAAAAATTATAAATATTAATTATATATTGTATGACTTTTATTAGAAGTAATTATTAACTTTCATTTTTCATGTATCAACATTTTTGCACCGGACCATATAAAGGTTATTGGATTCAATTAATATTATTAAAATATGGTGCGAAAGCTACAAGTTTGCTTAATGCACTTGCAATTTTGGTTTCACGAAAAAGTATAAAAAAATCTTTTACGAATCGTGTAACGATCTTCGCTATATTTCCTTATATGGGACGGTCCTACCTGAAACATAGATCATCCCATTCACGCAACATTACACGAATCTACTACATACATACAATTGGAAACAATAGCGATAGAAAATTTTGTTGACAATTTTTTAAGTAGAAATTGTGATCGTGATTATATTTCGTCGGTCTACATACAAATTGTCTGGTGATGTGATAGATTGTTTATAAATAATGGATACAAATAATAAAAATCAAAAGCCACCAACGACAACGGATAATTTAACACCAACACAACCTGCACAGAACGAAATCTCGTTACTAACAAGTTCACTAGTAAAAAGCAGAGATAGTAGTGGAAATAATGGAGGATCTACCAAATCAATAGCGGCAACAACACCAATTCGAATAGCATCTTCTTCACAGCATCAAAGACAACAGCAACAAGTAATTTCAAATAATAACGACAATGATTCATTATTGTTTCGAAATTATCGCGGTGTTGATAATGAATATAATAATAGTAATAATTATTTAGTAAAAGACAATGACAAAGAATTAACGCCGAATATTAATACTATTGATAACGATGAGAATAATCAACAACCACAACAGATATTACGAGCAAAACCGCAAAAAAATCAGAATTTATTAGGCTCGATAGACGAAGAAACTCGACAAACACCCTCGTCGAATGATACAACTGATCCTAATAATAATTCACGAGTAATAGCTTCTAATAAAAATAGCAATAATCACGCGATACAAAGAGGTTACCAAGCAAGACCAAGACACATCAATATAGCTAATGCAGCCAATAATCGAGCATCTTTGCCAAAAGCAATAACAACAACACCAGGAGCAATCTCCTCATCATATGCAGGCGAACGGATTCCATGGAGCTCACTAAAACACTACAGCGACGGTTCTTTTGTCACTTCGCCACTTCAGTCAAGTTACATGACGGCTGACAGTTTTTTTCCCGCAGGTCTAAGCTTCGATAATAATTCTACACATCCTCAACAAAATCTCCCGAATTATAATTATACTCATTCTGGTAGTATTGGACCTCATATTATTCCTTCGTCGGTCGACGATGGAAGAAGTTTGTTTAGTGTGATTATGGATGATGGGTCGAAACAACGTCGTAGGATTTCATTGAGTTCTGAATATACTTTACCAAGGTAAAAGATTAATTAACTTATTTGTTATGAATAAATTTATTAATAATCTATTTTTGAATATAAAGAAATCCCGTATCTGAAAATGTGCCACTCCTAGCTGGGGATGACGTTTATGACGACTCGGATACAGAAGATGAACGAGACACACCACCTTTAAATAATCGTTATCATCTCTACCATCCAAAAAACCGTTTCTCTGTCTACCGGCATCGGCTAACCTCGTGGTTCCGGAACCATACAAAACTCTCGACAAACTCGAAAAAAGTAATAAAATGCGCTGTGGCATACTTCCTCGCCTCAATGTTTACCTACATCCCTGCATTAAACGCGTTGATCGGCCTCACCGAAGCACAGAATGCACATCTTGTTGCCTCAGTTTCGGTGTTCTTTAACCCTGCCAAAACGATCGGTGGTATTTTCGAGGCAATGTTTTTGGCGTTGTTTGCTGGGTGTTATGGCGCGTTGGTCGGAGTCTTGAGTATGGCGTCGGCTGTTTGGTTTAATCAACAGCAGATGTATATTTTGGGGCATGTTGTTAGTGTTGTTGTGTGGTGTGGGGGGAGTATATTTATTTTGGCGTTTTTGAAGGCGACGTTGAAGAAACCGGCTTTTAATAGTGGTCCGTATTTTTTATTTGTGATTTTTACCTCGAGTTTTCTCTAATCAATAAGAATGCTTAAATGCTGAAATATTAATTATAATTTTTTTTGTTACTTAGCATGTTCTCTTTGTTGCATTATTATATTTGTTGTGCTCACCAAAGAAGGAAGCGTTGTGTTGGGCGAATTCGCCACTAATAAAATATTTCAAGTGGCGACTATTATTTTAGTTGGAGCCTCGATAAGTTTTTTAGTTTCGGTGTTACTTTGGCCTGTTAGTGCTAGTGATAAATTAAAGTAAGTAATTTCTCGAATTTATACTGATAATTATTTTGATCATTCAGGAACTAAAATTAATTAATCAAAACAATTAAATAAGGGACGAAATTGGCAAAACCCTCGCATCGTTCCGTCTCCTCCTAAAACTTCTCACCAAAACATTTCTAATCGACGACATCCACTACACTGACGCCTCAGTACAAGAAGCGATCACGTCACATCGTGCCACGTTCACGTCACTTAAAGCGTCACTCAATGAGGCGAAGTTGGAGATACACAATCGCGCGATGCAGCGCGAATTGGGATTGTATCATGAAGTTGTGAAGAGTTTGCAGCGATTAGCGCAACATTTGGGCGGATTAAGAAGTTGTTGTGGATTGCAATGGGAAATGATTAAAGACAAGGATACGAATAATCATAATGGTGGTGAAGGAATCCCGTTGACTGAAGGTGAACCACAAGGTCGTCCAAGTGGTAATGTAACCGAAGAAGAAGATTACGGAGATATCGGTATCTTGTTAGAATTCATTCATCACGTTGGACCACACATGAAATCACTAGCATTCACATGCAAACAAACGATGGCTCATCTTCAAGATCAATTGACCAAAGCTTTGAATAATGAATCCGACCAACAACGACCATCATTCACTCTCCTCCAAGAAAACCTCGAAGCAGCACTCGCACTATTCGAAACATCGCAAACGCGTGCCGTCACACGACTCTACAAAAAAGAAACCATGAATGGTCATTTTGACGGTCGTCCGAATGAAGAAGTTTTCTTGATTTATTTTTTCGTGTTTAATTTGCAAGAGTTTACAAGGGAGCTTCAGCGGTTGGTTACTTTGGTTGGGAAAATTAGTAAATCGCAGTTGAGGGCGCAGGAAATAAGGAGGAGTTTGAAGTGGTGGGAGTTGCGGCGATGGTTTAATTGGTTCTTTTGTCTTTCCAATACTAATGATCAAGATACGGTGGCGGATGGTGCAAATAATAGTAAAAAATCAAACCCTAAATTCCCGGAACATTCGCATAATCTGTTTAATACTATTCAGACACCAAAACCAAAAACAAAATGGCAAGCGTTCACTATACGATTATGGGAATGGTCATCACTATTTCGACGATATGAAGTCAAATATGCATTCAAGACGGCGCTTAGTGCTTCTATTTTGGCCACGCCTGCGTTCATTGATTACACACGACCTACATATATAAAGTATCGAGGTGAATGGGCTTGTATTTCTGTGAGTGGGAAAAAATTAAATAGGCAAAATCTTTAATTTTTCCAAACCAATTAATCTTAATAATCTGTTGTTTTTGTGATTAATTATTGACCAAAAAAAAAAAGATGATAGTAGTAATGGTCCCCACAGTAGGTGGCACAAATCTCATGAGCTTCTACCGCGTCTTGGGCACATTCCTCGGGGGCTGTCTCGCATTCATAGCATACACCCTATTCCCCGATAACGGCCCAATTCTCGCGATTTTCGGGTTCTTGGTTGCGTTACCGTGTTTTTATATCCTGATGTTTACAAAGTACGACCGGATGGGACAGTTTATCCTGTTGGCGTATAATCTGGTGGCGTTGTATAAATTTAATTTGAGGAATGCCGAGGATGATGAACACCTGGATTTGTATGAGATTGCGTGGTATCGTAGTATTGCGGTGGGGACTGGTGTGTTGTGGGGTTTGTTTGTTACGACTTGTTGGTGGCCGTATGAAGCGAGAACAGAATTGAGAAAAGGATTGAGTTTTTTGATTATTAATATGAGTTGGTTGTATAAGGAACTTGTTAGTCTTTATTCCGGTAAAACAGACAACAATAATTCAAATATAAATGGAGGTGAATCACATGTCTCATCCACATCGTCCAATTCTACTCGGAGCACCGTCATCAACCTTTCTCAAGATCACCTCTCAAAATCCACAAAAGATTTTCTAGAACTCGAACTATTCCTCCAAGTCTCAATCCTCGAACTCCACGATCTACTCGCGCAAACACCCAACGAACCCCGTTTAAAAGGTCCCTTCCCCGTGCGAACATACAGCAAAATCCTCACCAGCTGCCAAAACATTCTCGATAAAATGCTATCAATGCGTATCGCCGTCACCAAAGAACAATTCTACGACGCGATCCGACGCGACTTTATAATCCCGATAAATCGCGAACGACGCGAACTTGTCGGCAATGTATTGTTGTATTTTTACGTGTTGGCTGCGGCGTTGCGTCTTAAAACACCATTGCCGCCGTATTTGCCGCCAGCTGATCAGGCTCGACGAAGAATGGTCAAAAAGATTAGGGACTTACCGGTGGTAAGGCAACGTTTTGTCGAGGGGAACGATGAGCATTATATTGTGTATTATGCATATGCGTTGGTGATGGAGGATATTATCCGGGAGTTGGAGAATCTTGGTGGGACTATGCAAGAGTTGTTTGGTACTATGGGTGGAGAGGAGTTTGATGCTTTTTTTATGGTACCTGAGGAAAATTCGCAATCACAATCGGCTTTTAGCAATGTTGCAGAAGAATAACAATTACATGATGAAAATCATCATGTAATTTTGATCATTCATTGGCTCTAAACTCTATGATTTTTATTAAAATTATCCAATTCAACCAAACAGATCTGATTACTAAATATAGATTAATATTACTATGAATGAATTATTACGCAATATTGCGCAATGACTAAATACGTTAGGCGATGTGTAACCAAATGTTGTCACTCGGCCATAAACAAACACCAGGTGTAACAATAATCAGTAGAACATTCCATTATATTCCACAAGGATCTTTTATTTACCTGATCAATACTTTTGTATATTTTATTATATTTTATTTAAACCGACTATTCGCGTCTGTGGTTGTGGTGGTAGCCTTGTATTACTATTAGTATTACTATTACTAATACTTTACATGAACATTTCTTGATAAAATCCTTTTGTAGTATTAGCTTTGATTAAACCATGAGTGCTCAAATTTCTATGCAATCTCCCACAACTGCTACTTCAACAACTACTAGCGTCTCTGCCTTCTGTCCACAATCTTCGTCCATGAATCAAGGTTGCAAGCGGAGAAAATGGTCGCAATGGATTGCTACAACAACAAATAGTGAGGATGGCAACGATGAGCTTCAGCGTCAAAACCCGCTTAAGAGACTAAAGACACAAAATATGGAAAATTCGAGTTCTTCGTCTTTTTCATCGTCGCATTCATCGACTTACCAACAATCTCCTCGTATCAATTTATCGTTTTTTTCATGTAACGATGATAATACTCGCCACCTGCCGAATCAAAAGGCTTCACAATGCAATTTCAACAACATAAATATTAACAAGAAAACTTCGACACCACCGATTCAAGCATCAACTTCTACCACGACAACACGTTTCATTGATCTCCGAGATAAATCAGATGACGATCAGATTGAAATATCGCGAATAATTGATTTGTCGACCGGTGAAGCACTCGAGGTTGTCCCTTCACTTGAAAAACAACGTATGCGTCACCAGAAGAAAAAACGTGGGATTGATCAAGTAAACGACCAAGAGAAAAACGACGAATCATATTCATCAATTGGATGGAGATTTAATAATAATTGTGAATTGTTGGTGGATGGAGGTAATTCCAGCAATAAATCTCCCAATAAGAAAATGCGGATCTCTCTCCAACCCACCACTAATTTCATTGAAGAAATCGAAGATGAAAACGACGACGAGCAAAATGATGATAAGGTCAAAAAAGAAGAAAAAGAAATTAATGCAAGCATGTTTCCAACATCGAAATTAAAAGCATCCAATAATAAAGTTGCTATTGCTGATGATGGTATTGGTAGTATTACTCCCCCCGGAAATAATAATAATTCATCGTCAGTTTCCTCAAACTCATTATCAATTCTCCTCAAAAGATTTCAAAAAGCAAATAAACTGGAATTTACTGTTCCCTATAAAAAAGCGTTTGCCGATTACATGCGGTCTCAATTCGGGTACATGAAGGGTGGTGGTGATGATAATAATAATAACGCTGATCATACTGGCGAGAGAAAGCAAATTGTGCTATATAACAACAATAACAGCAACAACAACAACAACAATAATAATAATAATAATCTCAAGAATTTCTCGGCTGAATTGTTAGAGTTTAAAGAACTTATTCGTGGGATCGAGAAAGAACAACAATTGCATTCGCTACAGCGAGATGATGATGGTGATGTAAGAGGTAAGATTTATGAGATTACTGAAGATGATAATCAAGTAACAGCAGATATCGATATGATGAAATCGTCGACGACAATGGAGTTGGATGGTAATAGTGGTGATTATGATGATTATGATATGGAGATGTTGGATGATAAAATCGTTAATGGTGGTGTGTCTGTGACGGGAGAAATACCGATGGATGAAATGGAGATTGATTGATTGATTTCTATTATTATGATTTAAACACTTTGATTTGATTGCTTAAAAAGAACATTTGTCGTATTACTATGTCTAATAATATAATTGTACACCTGTAAATATCTAAAAATTCAATAATATCTTTACCCACTTGTAAAAAACTGCGCCACTATTGAAAAATGTAATTGATATATCGATATTGTGATCATCAAAATTTTTTGTTATTTTCACTTCAACATCTTACCAAACCTCGAATTAATCATAAAAATGGTGAGTATTGGAAGAAGCAGTTTAACATTTTTACGAGCTTAGATTTTACTTGTTTGAAACAGAAAGAGGAAACGAATGAACAGAAGAAACCCGGAAAAATTATTTTGTTCAATCATTTGGCTCTATTACTCCCTAATCTATGTTCTATTATTATATCAAGAAGACTATTCATAATTTTTATCCAGACATAACGATTAAAGCTCTCTTGATTTTAAATTCTTTGACCAAAAATAACAATTACAACAACAGGGTTTCACGCATCTTGATAACGACTCTGGTCTCTCTGTGCTTAACTTCTTTTTGGAGGACAAGTCTTATATTCAAGGGTAAATTATTTATTACTTGCTATTAACAGTTGATTGATTGATTTATATACGATGATGATGAATGTTATTTGGTCCGTGTTTCTGAGACGGACGTAAGACCCCGTCAAACTGAAAGAAAGAACATAAGCATTGTCTGATCCATCGTAAAAAATCTAGGATATCCAACATAGCACAATCTCATAATTAAATCCCAAGCAACTAATAACAATAATAATAATAATAATAATAGCTATGAACCAACTCAAGCCGACGTATCTGTATTCAAAGCACTCAACGGCAAAACACCCGACGCTCATAAATACCAAAACGCAGCACGCTGGTACCACCACATCAACTCCTACTCTCATGAGTTCGCCTCTCTACCTGGCGACGCGAGCAAAGACGCCTCACACTACGGTCCAGCAGTCGTCCAAGCACTTGCCGAAACTGTAAAAGGCGGTGCTGATGATGACGACATTGATCTCTTTGGATCAGACGACGAAGAAGATGCCGAGGCCGAACGTTTGAAGGAACAACGTTTGGCCGAGTATCGTGCCAAGAAAGCCGCTAAACCTGCTGTCATTGCAAAGAGTATGGTGCTTTTGGATGTGAAACCGTGGGATGATACTACTAATATGGAGGAATTAGAGAAATCTGTAAGATCGATTTCACTTGATGGGCTGACTTGGGGGCAGAGTAAATTTGTGCCGGTTGGATACGGAATAAGGAAGTTGCAGATTGGGTGTGTCGTGGAGGATAATAAAGTTGGTGTTGGTGAGTATTCAGTATTATTGTGATCAATGTTTATGTATTAATTTATTATTATATTTATGACCCGATTTTTATTTTATTTTACTTTATAGATGATTTGGAAGAGCAAATCACTGGGTTCGAGGATTATGTTCAAAGTGTTGATGTTGCCTCGTTTAATAAATTGTAAAATATACCATATAATGAACAAATGTATTGATGATTGAACAAATGTATTGATGATGATCATCTATTCTTAATTATTTGTCGATAGAATAAAAAATTCGTTCGGTGTAATATTTAATGATGATAAGCAACCGTTCAAGAGTTTTCTCTGCCTCCCTGACCAAAAAAGGACTATTTTTTAGATCCTCCTCTTCTACTAAATGTTCGCTTAGCACTACAACCACTAAAAAATACTACCAAAACAACAGCAACGTAATAAACAACAAATACAACCTACTCATTAACAAAGCATACAACTACATTCTAATCGGCTGCAATAGGGACATCAGCACCAAAGATATTCCGATTAGAAAGACGAGTATTAGTAGTTTGATAATGTCCAAGAATAGTTTTAAGGTTGCGTGTGTTCAATTGTTGGTTACCAAAGATAAGCTGAAAAACTTGAAGAATGCAAAGAGTAAAATTTTAGAGGCTGCGAGAGAAGGTGCTAAAGTTGTTGTGCTGCCGGTGAGAAACTGATTTATACACTCTATTCGGTTGTTACGGACATTGATAACTTGGAGAAATATATAAATATTTATGGTGTCATATTGATTTAAAAGGAATGCTTCAATTCACCATACGGAACCCAGTATTTTAAGGAATACGCGGAAAGTATTCCTGCTGGGCCTAGTATCAGTGCGTTATCCGAAGCAGCAAAGGTGATTTATTTTATTTATTTATTTTTAATTATTTCTTGGTAATTTAATTAATTCTAAATTGGTTTGTATTTTTGCGGCATGTTGTTTAGTAGGAAGCGAATGTGTATTTGATAGGAGGTGAGCAAGTAAATTTGGTTTGATTGATGATTTGATTTGTATATTTATATAATTTTTGATGTTAATGATATTTAATTGAATAGGCTCCATTCCTGAGCACGATGAAGAAACCAGGAAATTGTATAACACGTGTACAGTGTTTGACCCAAAGGGTATGTAATCTATAGTATGATATAATTAGTCTTAGTGATACCAGTAGTAATTTCCTTTTTACCTCTTTTTTATTTATTATTAAAATTAAATTAAATGTAGCAGCCTATTGTCTATTATTCTTTTTTCTGTTTTATTTCTCAAATAATATAAATATTAAAAAAAAAAGGAACAATCATCGCCAAACATCGTAAAGTACACTTATTTGATGTTGACATTCCGGGAAGAATTCGGTTTCAAGAAAGTGAGATATTGAGTTCTGGTGGGTCACTGACGCAATTTGATACTGGTGAGTGAGATCGAGATGTAGGATTCTAAGTAAGAAATGTCACTGAAAACAGTCTCTATTTAATAATTATCAGAATATGGAAAAATCGGTATTGGGATCTGTTACGATATGCGATTTCCCGAAATGGCCATGATTGCTTCTAGAAAAGGTATACTTGACACGATACATTCATTCCATTTGTTTAATTATTTGATTAAACAAATAAATAATTAACCTTAGGGTGTATCATGATGATTTATCCTGGTGCTTTTAATTTAACAACTGGACCCTTACATTGGGAACGTGAGTTAATTAATATTTTTATTTTGATGCAATTTGAGTTTTATCAACTCGAAATACTGAAATAATAATATTTATGACGAAAAATACGAACGGATCCAGTTTTACAACGAGCCAGGGCGGTTGATAACCAGGTATGATGTATTCTTAATCTTGATTTTTGTATGGTAAAATGTCAGTCAATTAATTTGGTGTTTGACTATTGGTACTCATAGATTTTCGTAGCAACTTGTTCACCAGCACGCGATTATACCGCGACGTATCATGCGTATGGACACTCTACTATTGTAGACCCAAAGTAGTTATTTTTGTTCGAAATTAGATCTACCAACGAAGGCTTCTTTATTGATCACTTATATTTTTTTTGAATGATAGTGGCGAGATACTAGCGACAACCGAAGATCACGAAAATATAGTATACGCCAACATAGGTAAGCAGAAAATTGTATTGTGTTAACATTGAATTTGTCTTTTTAATTACTACATTCTTTTTCTAATAAAAAATAGATTTAGATAAAATAAAAACCATTCGACAAAGTATTCCAGTTACCATGCAACGACGGTTTGATTTGTATCCAAATGTTGCTGCTGTTAATAATGGTGCTAATGTTAATTGAAATTTTTTACTTCTCAAAGAGATTAGAAGCTAACTTTTTGGGTTTGATTAACAACTGGATCGATCAATATCTCACGAATTAAGTACTGATCTATGATAGATTTTCTGGTTTAGAACTTTCTTTTAATAAAATATAATTTTATTGAATTACAAAATAACCTGAAATTTAGTTATAATTGAAGCTAACGCTTATAATAAAAAGAATATTAGATAATATTTTAGTTTTAAGCATCAATTTCAACATTCTTATTATGACTGTAAAAAGAATTTGCAACAGTTTAAAGTTTGTTATTTAGCAAAAATAGTCTAGTATTATTTATATAATTTTATTCTAAGATTATTATCAAAGTTTGGCTTGTATAAAAAATATACAATTATCTTAAGAGCATCTACAAAATGTTTTCAGTATAAATAAAAATTTTGATATTATTTTATCAAATTCTTTACATGTTTGCTTCAACAAATAAGATAAATACATTATTTCTAAATTTAAAAATTTGTATTGTTATTGTTTTAATATGACTTTATATTTTGTCACAAAAGTACACGTGATAGAGTCAGATAGGAGAGTTGACATATTAAATAACTTTAAGTTGGAAGAGTTTACTAAGTTATCTAAAGATAGGTAACATATATTTGTTTTGTTGGTTAGCTAGAATGAGACCAAAAAAATTCAAAGGTAATTGTGCCTTTTATAATTCAATTTATAATAAGTTGAATGTTCTTTTAAAGTTTGTTAATAAACAAGTAAGATATAATTTTCTTTTATTAACTCAATACTATTATTGACTTCGCAATATAGACAAAAGGTCAAATACAAGAATGTATAAGCTAATATAACTTTGCAATAGTAACAAAAGATTATAAAACAAATACAAGAATAACTTTATAATTAAAATGAGAGATTATGAAAAATATTATCTAAAGAATTATTAAAAGAATATAAAACTTGATTGATTATTAATTGATTATTTTTTGATTGATTATTGATTGATTTTTAAGCTGAAATACAAGCTGTATTTGATAATTATAAAATGATTATTTAAAATAATCATTCAGAGTGTTTGGAATAATCATTTGCAATGATTATTTGGAGTGTTTGAGATAATTGTTTGGAATGATCATTTGCAATGATCATTCAGAGTGATCATTTGAAGTAATCATGTGAAGCAATTATGTGAAGCGATCATATAAAATGATCATGTGAAGTGATTATTTGTGATTATAAAAAATATCTAATTACAACAGAACTCTCATTGTTAAATATTTTACTCTGTAAAATAAGAATAAAACAACAAAAAAAATAAAATAATAAAAAGTAAGATAAAAGTAAAAATAAAAGTAAAATAAAAAGTAAAAATAAAAATAATTAAACTAAAATGTTATCTAAATCTATTTTTTTTGAGTTCATTGTTATTTGTTTAAATATTTTAACAATTTGTTCTTTGAGTTCATTACTATTTTGTTAATTCAATTTTCCAATTGGACTCAATTTGAAATATTCATCAATCTTTTTATAATTTAATGCTCCAGAGAAATTTTTGAAATAATCATAAATTCTTAGAGCAGCTAATATTTTTGCAGTAGTGTTATGTGAAGAGATATTTTTTTAAACAAGTGTTTGATTTCAGTTGTTGTTTGTACAGTAGTTAATCTAGTTGTTAGGTTATTGAAAATTTATTTAATTTCAAAGTAAAGAGCAATTTTAGTATATTATTTGGTTATGAATAAGTCAATATAAATTAATAGTGAAACTTTATCAGAGAAATATATTGATAATGTCTCAGTTTGTTTAGAATTAGCCATTGCATTGATAAATCTATTAATAGTATGACTTTTAAATTCAATTAATAGTGTTGAGTTACTATTTTTATTATTATTATTATTATTGTTTCTTTATAAAGTAATAGAGTGATGATGAAACATGATTTATTATAATTGATGATAAATTGATATTTAGAGCAATTTTTGTTTATAATTCTATTGCTAATTGTTGAATTTCCAGTAGAATGTTTTCAAAATTAATAAATAACATGATAGAAAGTGAATAAAATAATTTTAATACAAATAATAGAATTAAAAGTGATTATATATATATATATATTTTTGAATTTTATGATTTTTAAAATTTTTAACTAAATTTAATTGATAATAATTTTTAAATAAATTAATTATGATAATTAATAATTAATATTGCTACCGTTTCTAGTTCTTACGTATGAGAATATTTAGAAATGGTTAACAGCGACTGTGTTCACGGCAGATTT